CCTGGCACAGCATGAGCCAGCCACCTGCTGCCACCCAGCCCTCCGCCTCTTCCCAGGACCAGGCTGGTAGCTCCCAAGAGCCTGCCTAGGGCCGCAAAAGGCGGGCGCCCGCCTGGTATAGTGCAAAGATCGTGGACCAAATCGAGGTTTGGGGGGAAGCCTCCAACGTCCACGACCTCCGCACTAGGCACAGGATTGTGGCCGTCTAGGGCAGGATAGCTGCCAGCCTGGCCACCAAAGGTCACACGTGAACCCAGGAGCAGGTTTGCATGAAAATCAAGGTGGTCCAGTGAGGCCCCCGACCCTGAGCCCTGAGTTTAGAACATAAGAACATAAGAACGGCCGTACTGGGTCAGACCAAAGGTCCATCGAGCCCAGTAGCCTGTCTGCCGACAGCAGCCAACACCAGTCTGGGTGGCTGGGGGCTGGGCCCAGCTGTTGGCTGCTGCGCGGAGACCTCCCAGGGAGACATCTGACCCCCTTGGGGGTCGCAACCCACAGGTTGCACACCACTGCTAGAGAAGACTGTCCTGACTAAAAGGTAGCGCTGACTGGAAAATCACCCCTCCCAGACGGAGGAAAGGGAACCCTCTTGCTGAGCCCTGCCCTGATCCTGGGAACATTGGCTCAATCAGGTTTTCAATAGCTAGAATGACACCATGCAACCTTTTTAATAACACAGGCCCCTCAGTTTTCCAGCCTCAAAACAATGCACCAGCTCTAGCATCTTCCATCCACGGCTCTGGAAGCCTTTACAAACATTAACTCCTCGTTGCCTCCACGGAAGGAAGGTAAGTAGCATTATCCCCAACATACACAGGAACATAAGTTGGCTTAAATCCTGAAGCAGGAAGTTTTCTCTCTTTTTCTCACACTCAATCGTTTTAACTGGATCTAGCGTTCAGTCCCCCTTTGAACTTTGCTAAGCTCTCGGCTCAATGGCATCTCGTGGCAATGAATTCCAGAGTCTAACAGCAAATGATGTGTCTAGAAAAGAACTTCCTTTTGTCAGTTTTGAATTTGCCACCTTTTAAGTTTCAATGCATAACCCGTTGTCCTGATGCGAGGAAACAGTGCACAGAGCGGGAAGAGAATTGCCCAGGGAGATACGCACGTCAGTTCCTGAGCTGAACGCTACACAGTGCGAGTGTACTGTTAGGAAGACTACACAAGTGTTGCTAAAGTGTAAAGAAGAGATGAACCCCCTTAAATTCCAGTCAGAGGTAGATAAGACTGGACAGGCGATAGACCTGTGGTCTGGCCACAATAGCCTCCCTTTTCCCTGGCCCCTAAACTTTCCCTCTCTTTGATGCTACAGATTCCATGACAGCACCAGCGCCTGCTAGTGAAAAGAGAGGGATACTAGGCTGCCCTTGACTCACCGTGCTGCCCTCCACATGGCTCGTTTCTCTGCCTCCAGGGCCCGGCGCTCAGCTGGAGACAGCTCCTTCTCCTGGGTACTCAGGAACTCAGGGCTCTGCATCCGCAATCGCTCCTGGTGCCGTCGCTCAGCTTTGGCTGTTCGCACCGGTGCCCCTGCCTCGCCCCCTGGGTACACTGGGATCAGTCTGGGAAGAGATACCAGGCATCACACGGGGCTTGGCCCAACCCACCCAGAAGCCCCCAGTCTTCCTGCTCTCCCTTCTCAAAGGAGGGCCCCACTTTCTATCCTGCCCACAGCCCTGAGCCACCCTGGATCTCCTCAAAGGAAGGACCTCGTCACCCAGCCCCAGGCTCCTGGCTCTCACTTAGTAAACAACCCTGTACCCAACATGCGTCACCCACACCCTTCCCTGCCCCATATCCCCACCTCCCCAAAGCCTGCTGAAAGGCAGAGTGGCCCGGCCCACTCTGTGGCTGGCTGCGGGCTGCAGGGCTGCTGCAATGTTGTTCTCCCCTCTCCCTCAAGAGTGCCCTCTTACCCAGACATGGAGTTAGGTCTCTGCTCCAGCTTGAATCCGTCCTCTAGCGAGTTTCTCTGGGAGCTGCTGTGCTCGTCTGCCTCGGATTCCCTGCAGCAACACAGACATGTCAACCAGGCACGCTGAAGGATGCCCCCAGCGGCGTCAGAGCACAGAGCCCCTTTCCTATGGACCTGAGCTCCAGGATGCAGACCCTGCAGCTCAGTTCAGTGCTGTGGCCCTCAATGCATTAGTCTGACAGCTTTGGTATCTTGCACATGCCAGTCCCATCTGCCTGCGGCAGGAAGCCTTCAAGGGCATGTGAGCAGGGAGTAGGAATGAATCACCTGGATGATGGGAAGAACCTCCCCTGTCCCATGGCAGAAACCCGAGGCTGGGTGCAGCCTGACAGGAGCGTGTCCTCTTCGCTCTGCCTGGTCTCTGTGAACACTCTGCCTGCCTGCAACCTGGGGACCATCTCCTTTCCTGCTGCACCCAGACAGGGGATTTCGCCTCAGAATCTAGGGCTTTAACTGGGTTCAGAAAAGAACTAGACAAATCCACGGAGGCTGGGTCCATGGATGGCTAGTAGCCAGGGAGGGTAGGGATGGTGGCCCTGGCCTCTGGAGGTGGGTGACAGGAGGGATCACGTGAGGATTCCCTGTTGTGATCCCTCCCTCTGGGCACCTGGTGCTGGCCACTGTCGGCAGACAGGCCACTGGGCTAGATGGACCTTTGGTCTGACCCCGTGTGGCCGTTCTTACGTTCTAATCTCACCAAACCAACCTTTCTCCCTGATCTGACATCAGGCGTCTCAGCAGGTCCAGGCCCCAGTCATGTCCCAACTCCAATACCGCATCTGCATCCTTCTGATGCCAAGGGCATCTATCTCACCCCAGACAGGCCATCCAAACTCATCTCCCTCCCCCAAGCTCTGGCTGCGTTGCCACCGCCTGCTGTATCAAGTGTAAACCATTGTGCTCACCTGCCAGCTCTTTCCTAAGTCCAGCCCTGCTCCCGCCAGCCCCCCTGCTGTGACAGGTGGCTGACTGCTTCTTGTTTTCCCTTTGCTGAGGTCAGATCTTTCTGAAGGCAAAGTCAGTCCTTTGGCAGCCCCCTAGGACTGAGTGAGGGCAGAGCTGAGCTAAGGGCTGCATTCTGTGCAGTCCTGTTGGCCCCCATATGTCCTAGGCGTAAGTCAGAATTTGGCCCTGAATGAACAACTGAAGATCTCAGTCCCTATCACAACTTTGCCTTCAGAGACCTATCTCTGCCCAGAGCTGAAATGGGGAGCTGATGAGGGGAGAGGAGTCTGACATTCCTTCCTGCTATTAAGCTCACTGGATATCAACTAAGCAATGAGCCTGAGAAGCAATGGAGCCAGTGATGGGGGCCATGCATACCACTCTCCAGCACTTGCAGCCCACCAGCTGAGAGAGTACGGGCCCTCCCGCCCCATCTTTGCAGAGTGACATCTCTGAGCTGTGGGGAGAGGCTGCAAAGACTGCATGTTTGGCTGCTGCCCTTCTTTAGTGCTTGCCAGAGCCCGGGTTAGCATGAGGGATGGGGGAACCCCCATGCAGGTGGAATGCGAGGTGTTTCTGGACTGAGAGGGTGAATGGGGGGACATGATAGCGGTTTTCAAATATCTAAAAGGGTGTCACAAGGAGGAAGGAGAAAATTTGTTCCTCTTGGTTTCTGAGGACAGGACAAGGAGTAATGGGCTTAAAGTACAGCAGGGGAGGTTTAGATTGGACATTAGGAAAAAATTCCTAACTGTCAGGGTGGTCAAATATTGGAATAAATTGCCAAGGGAGGTGGTGGAATCTCCCTCTCTGGAGATATTTAAGAACAGGTTAGATAGACATCTGTCAGGGATGGTGTAGGTGGAGCTTGGTCCTGCCTTGAGGGCGGGGGGCTGGACTCGATGACCTCTCGAGGTCCCTTCCAGTCCTATGATTCTATGATTCTATGAATGCAATGGGGAGATGGGCAGCAGAAACTAGAGCCAAAATGGGGGCCTGGACTGTCCCTAGTGTGGTCAGGCAGCAAGGGGAGACTGTAAGCCCCAGCCTACAAGACAAAGATGCTTGGCTCTGTGGCCCGAGACGTGATCCTGCAGCAGTTTCAGCATGAGGGAAAATCCCTGTCTCAAGTGGAAAAACAGGACTCATCTTTACTGACAGCAGTGTTGCTGTGCCATGAGCCAGACAAGTGAAAACCACAGACAGTGCACCAGGGAGCAGAAATGGCCAGAAGGGAGCTAGGAGAGTGAGAAGCCATTTGCAGCAGAGTGCGCAGTGTGATCCGGTAGCAAAACATCACCAATGCTACTCGGAGCTGCAGAAGAATGCAGTGAAAAATCAGAGACACAGTCCTTGGTAAAACACTGACTGACATGCCATGCCTGTTTCAGGTGTGAGTCAGACAGACAAGATTCTGAGAAAGGTTGAAGGCAGCAACCTGAGATTGATTCTGTTTGAAGCCCAATTCTCCATCTGTGAGGCAAATTTGCAGGGCAAGAAATGAAAGAAGCTGCACCAGTGCAGAACTGCAGCCTGGGGAGAGAGACGCCAGCAGACACAGGCATAATGCAAGAGCCTAAGGGGCAAGGCACAGGCTCAGCAAAGAGGTGTTTCCCGAGCTAGCCACAACTGCAATCAATGACTCCAGGTACCCAAGGCTGGAGCTGAGCAGCCACACATCTGAGAAGAACGAGGACCTGGGGACAAACTGCATGTCTTGTGATTACCAGGTCCCCCACAAGAGCCTGCCCAGACCCCAGATCCCATGGACAGGTGATGCTGGCTCACTCCCAGGACACAAAACTGAATCTGAGCTGCCAGTCAGTCTTACCGAGTTGCTGGGGACTGAATGCTCCTTCCATTTAGCCTCTTGATCTTGTATTCCACTCCTTCGATGATGACGCTGGACTGCATGCTCATATCGGGCTTCCCTGCATCCTCCTCTTCTTCCTCCTCCTCCTCCTCCAGTAATAGGGCCCGTTTCTGCTGCAGTTTACGAGCTGCCAAAATGGACACACCCATATGAGCGGGAGAGTGCTGCAGAGGTGATTGCTATCAGCGACGCCTCCGGTCTCTGGGTAGGTCCATGAGATCAGGCTCTGGATAGGTCCCTCCCCCTCCCTCTCCCTCTCCCTCTCTGCAAGAGTCGTACAGTTTCTGCAGTAGTCTCTGAGTCTATCCCCTCCCCAAAAACACACTTCTCCTGAGCTTGCTCAGTAGCTACTCTTGTCCCAGCCTCACTGCCTTGCAAAGTGTCCTCTGAATCACTTCCTGCTAATCAGAAAAGCCTTCTCCCTGCCCGCCACTCCAGAGAGCCATTGGGAGGCCAGACGAGCTGATGACCCTCGCTACCCAATGGCAGTCAGAGTCCTGGCAGGTGTTGGGAAGACCTCTCCCCTCCCCCATGGGTGCGGACTGTTCAGAAAAGGCCTGTGTCCTCATAGGCTTTATAGTCAAAGGGACCATCATGATCACCTAGTTGGACCTCCTGCACATTGCAGGCCATAGAACCTCACCCACTCACACCTGCAATAGACCGCCAGCCTTGGGCTGACTGACTGAAGGCCTCAGATTATGGTTCAGAGACTCCAAGTTACAGAGAACACCCCATTTATACCTGCAAGTTTAGACCTGCAAGTGACCCTTAGCCCATGCCCCATGCTGTAAAGGAAGGAAATGCCCAGGGTCTTTGCCAAACTGACCTGGGGAAAAGACCTTCTGGACCCCAAGAACGGCAGTCAGACCTGTCACCTCCGATGGGTTTAAGCGTGCCCGCAGGACTCGGAAAGCATGGGAACGCAAGAGGAGGATACTTTTTTATACACAAAGGGGATATTTTTGAGACCTGCCTAACTGCCTTGCCTGCTTCTACTAGCTCCATCAGATAGATTGTCAACGTCAGCAGTTCTAGGGCAGCACCATGTATCACCAGTGCCTAAGGGAACTGCTCCTCCATGGACTGAGGAGTGCGATAGCACCTTCTCTTCAGAACGCCAGCCTTGAGAGACACTAGGCTCCCTGCCACGCACTGCCCAACAGGTGGGCAGGGGGACTAGGCTCACTGCGCTGACCCTACCAAGAAATCAGAAAAATAAAACGACTGCCGATCTTTCCTAACTGTTGTTCTCCACACTGGGTGGCTCATGTCCATTCCAATGACGTATGCACCCACCACAGGCACAGGCACTGGCACTGGAAGGTTTTGCTCAGCTATGGAGCCCCCTGAGGTCACACCTTCATGGTGCCACATACAGGGACCTGCAACCGACCACCATTCCAGTTACATCTTGCCAGATTACTCTGACAGAGGGGAAACCAGGTGGGTCTGGACTGGACATGAGCAACGCATCTTGAAGAACACCAGTTATGAAAGAGAAGTACCAAGAGGACTGCTAAGCAGGGATGGGGTTCACCTTTCGAGGAAGAGGGAGAGCATATTTGGAGGCAGACTGGGTAATCTAGTGAGGAGGGCTTTAAATTAGGTTCAATGGGGGTAGGTGACCAACGCCCACAGGTAAATGAAGAACATGAAGACCTGGGAGATGGTTGGCGGTCCAGTGGCTCCCAGGGCGGGACTAGAAACTCCCACCCTTGGCTCCCCAGGCCAATGCAGGAAAAAAGGGGACAAGGCAGAACTGGGAGCAAAATCAAATCAGTATCTTACATGCCTATATACAAATGCAAGAAATATGGGTAATAAACAGGAAGAACTTGAAGTGCTAAAAAATAAACATGACTACGACATAGTTGGTATCTCAGGGTATGTCTACACTACCCTCCTAGTTCGAACTAGGAGGGTAGTGTAGACATACCCTTAGTTCTTATATTGTGGGAACAAGTAAATACCTTTTCCTTATTCACTTTCTCCACACCAGTCATGATTTTATAGGCCTCTATCATATCCTCTGTAGTGTCTTCTTTTCTGAGCTGAAAGGTCCAAGTCTTTTTAATCTCTCTTCATATGGGACCTGTTCCAAACCCCTAATCATTTTTGTTGCCGTTTTCTGAACCTTTTAATGACTCCTAACATTCTTTTTGCTTTTTTGACTGCCGCAAATCAAAAGTTCTGTTGTATCTCCTCTCTGCTCTGTGGAAATAGGATATAAAGTGGGAGAAGAGGCACCTTGACATCAGCACTCCTCTTCTCTCTCCCCTGCCCTGCACAGAAAGCAGGAGACTCCTGATGGAACAGCTCCAAAGCCAAGGGCAGGAGATAGGCAGCAGTGGGGGGAGGGGCAGCTGAAGTGCTGGCACTTGATAACAGTCTCTTGGTGAAACTGGTCAGGATCACCTGTCAGAGGCTCCAAGATGTACCAGTAGATCCTGATCTACTGGTTGGTGACCACTGGTGTAACCGCTGAAAAATTCTGTGATTACACGGCTATACGTATGGTCACAGTCAGCTCCATATAGCTCCATCCTCTCATACAGAGACAGCAACGAGGGAAAGGGAGCAGTTTTAAGCTAGCTCTCCATTCCCAGTGGCTCCTGCCTGCCCTCTCCACTCCTTCCTGCTGCCTCTGATACAGAGGCTGCAGCACAGGGGGGCAGGCAGCTCCCTGGGGGGCGCGTCTACACAGCAGGGCTTAACTCAAAATGAGCTACGCAATTGTGCTACATCAATTGCATAGCTTGTTTCAAAATAGCTCATTTCGAGTTTTGGTGCTGTCTACACAACACTTATTTCAAAACAGAGCACTCGTCCTCCGACTTCCCTTACTCATAAAATGAGGGTTACAGGAGTTGGAGTAAGAAGTCCTCCAGCTTGACAGTATTTTGACACTATGTCAAAATAACTGCTGGCTGTGTAGATGCAGACTATGTTATTTTGAAACAATGCTAGTTATTTCAAAACAATGTTACTGTGCAGACATAACCTGGGAGCCGGAGCACATGGGGAGCCAGCTTTTAAGCCAGTCCCCTGTGCATACCAGGAGCCTGCCCAGTGTGAGGGCGGGGACCTTCACTAGGCTGTAGCATGTCCATGTATAGATATGATCTACGATGATATTCTTTGGGATGACATTAGGAAGTCCTTCATCTTTTATGCCACTGTTCTAAACAGCTGGTTTGACTTCTGGAATGTCTTTGTTTGTCCAATATAAAAAGCCAATGCCCGCTGAATGTCCTGTTCATGGCTCTTGGTGTGAAGCTTCGGGAAAAGAGCTGGAAGAAATATGTCTTAGTTGGCATGGAAATTGGAGACCCTCTCAGGAGGAACATTGGGTGAGGCTGAAACTGGACCTGGTCCTTGTAAAAAATTGTATAGGTGAGTTCAGATGTTTTAGAAGGCCTTGAGTTTGGATACTCTCTGGGCTGGTTATCACAAGCAGGAAAGCCACTTTATATGACAGATAGAACAGTGACCTTGTCACTAAGGGCTCAAAAGGAAGCCCCATCATTCTCAAAGGTACCAGGTTGAGATCCCAAGCTGGGGGTAACTGCTGGATTTGAGAGTACTAGTCTAGTCCTTTAAGGAAATCTTGCACCATTGGACTAGCAGAAATGAGAGGGGAGATGAGAAGCCAAGATTGCGGCCAGGTGAACCTTTATTGATGAGTGTGACAAGCCCTGCTGTTGCAACTTTAGCAGGCAGTCCTACAAAGGGAATCAAAGATTGCCTCTGGGAGATACGGCTCTGAGAACACCAAACTTAAAATCTCTTCCACATGGCTAACTAGGTAGCCCTGGTCCATGGTTTCCTGCTGCACAGAAGATCCTCCCTAATAAAGTCTGAGCATATGAGCTCTAGTGGGTTCAACCACATAGTTTCCAGGCCATGAACTGGGATGCTGGAGCTAGATGTGATGCTGAATAATCAGATCTGGAACTCATGCTAGAGTGACTGGGGTATCCATTGATAGCTCCAGCCACATAGTGTACTAATGCTGTCATGGCCAAGGGATGCCACCAGGATCACCGAGGCTCCATCCCTCTGGGTCTTGATGAGGATCTTGTGAATGAGCGGGATGGGAGGAAATATGTAAGAAGAGATGATTCTTCCATGGGAGAAGGAATGCATCCGCCCACGAACCCGGCTGTGATTCAGGAAAAAGCAGAATTATAGGCACTTCCTGTTGTCCTTTGTGGTGAAAAAGTTGATGTGGGGAACTCCTTGCAGTTGGAAAATATTGTTTATTATTTCTGGGTGAATGGCCCATTCACAATTGTGAAAAGATCTGCTACATGGTCCACTAGCTCATTCTGAGATCCAGAGAGGTGGGATGCTGCCAGGGCTATCGAGTGGGCTATGCAGAAATCCGAGTTTTAGGGCTTCTTGATAGAGGGGAGAGGAATGTGCTCCACCTTGACTGTTGATATAAAGCATCGCTGTTGTATTGTCCATCAAGACTGACGTGCAAGACTGGAAGGTCTGATGCACCAGATGAACTGCTCTCAGCTCCCTGACACTGTTCTATGCTCTCTGAGTTGCGCTCCCCACCCGACTGCCAACACGCTGTAGACCAGACACAATGAGGGGTGTGGTTTGGAGAAGGCGACCACTGCACACACCATTCGGGGATTGAACCACCAGTGAAGAGACGCAAGAAGCCACGGTAGAGGTGTGATGACCTTGTCCAGACTCTGTTTGCTTCATCAACACACAAATACTAGCCAGGTCTGGAGAGGTCCGAGTCTGAGCCTCACGCGTTGCACCACATTCACACAAGATGCCACGTGCCCAAGGAGTTTCAAGCAATATCCTGCCGTGGTTGTAGGAAACTGTCTTGTATGATGTTGTGAATAGCGTGAAAGTGGGACTGGAAGAAAGGAATGCTCGGGCCTGTCTCGAGTCTAACACTGCCTCTGTGAACGCCATTCTCCGGGTAGCGGAGAGCATTGGCTTCTGTGTGTCAACAGGAGACTCCGTGTGTTGAACATGGATCTTATCAAGCTGACCTGTTGATCGACTTGTGTCCTGGAATGGCCCTTTGCTACCTGAACCGCAGGAAGGAGCCCATGACTGACATGCTCTTGGTGACTATCGGAGAAGTCGATGACAGGCCAAACTGGAGTGCTGTGAACAGGCAGTGAGTGCCCCCCACTATGGGTAGGGTTATGGAAAGAGGGTGACATACCAATCTCTTGGATCCAGAGACAGAGTAATGGCACTAACGAGACCATCCAAAACTACCTTCTGCGTGAGCCTGCTGAGGTAGCACAGGTCCAGGGTGGGTCTGAGGTCCCCTGTTGCTTTTGGTATTAGGAAATACCAGGAGTAGAACCCGTTGCCTCCAGACCCCCTTGCACAAGGAGTTGCTCTTGAGAAGGGTCCCTGCAGTGGGACAGGGAAGGGTGGGGGCAAGAAGAATTGGAGAGAATATCCCATTGCTATCACGTGAAGGAGCCAACATTCCAGTGTGATTTGGGACTGTGCATGGTAGAAATAGGAAATTTCTGAAAAGGGGAAAGAAGGATCCAGTCCTCAGGTTGGTATGTCACCCCCAGGCCTGCATCTTCTAAAGGCAGGTGATTGCCTTGACAACCCAGGCCCTTGGTTCTTCAGAGGCTGAGGCTGGCAACTCCGGTTCAGGTTTCCTCCCCTTCTGTGGTTGCGGTCCTGCTAAGGCTGTCCTCGATGTGGCCAGGGCATAGGCTGAGGCCTAAAGTGTCTATCCTGGGTGGCTGGAGAGTGTAGCCCCAGCAATCTCAGAGTGACTTGTGAATCTTTCAAGCGATGTAGCCTTGAGTCGGTTTTCTCTGAGAACAGAGTGACTCCCTGAAAAGAGAGATCTTTGTCTTGTTTGTTGGACCCCCCGGGAAGCTGCAGCTAGGAGCAATGTCACATTGTGATCCAGAGAACATAAGAACAAGAACATAAAAATGGTCATACTGGGTCAGACCAAAGGTCCATCCAGCCCAGTACCCTGTCTGCTGACAGTGGCCAATGCCAGGCGCCCCAGAGGGAGTGAATCGAACAGGGAATGATCAAGCGATCTCTCTCCTGCCACCCATCTCCACCTTCTGACAAACAGAGGCTACGGACACCATTCCTTACCCTTGCAGGAGGAATAACAGGTAGTTTGAACTAGGCCTTTAATTCGAACTACCGGGTCCCTGCCGCGTGTAGACGTGGGCAGTTAGTCCGGACTTGTAAATTTAAAAAAAAAAAGAAAAAAAATGGCAACCGGCCGGGAAGATGCAAATCAAGCCCGGGATATTTAAATCCCGGCCTTGATTTGCAACTTCGAATGCCTGCATTAGCCTCCCTAGTTTGAACTAGGGGCTAGTGTAGACATACCCTTATAGTCCTAGCCTTCACAACCTTCTTAGGCAAGGAGTTCCACAGATTGACATGGCACAAGTTGCCTACTCTGCTGAGTGCAGTGTATGACTGAGTTGGGGCTAGTTCTGCTTTGGGCAGGGGGCTGGACTCGATGACTCCTGAGGTCTCTTCCAGCCCTAGGATTCTAGGATTCAGTGTAGCCTGCAGCCATGTCCTGATCACAGCTCTGGTCTCATTCATGGTTTAAAATTGTACTGGCTGACGTGCAATGTGAAGCTGGAGCCCTCCCAACCAGAAGATCCAGCTTCTTAGTGTCCTTAACTCAAGGTGTAGGCACCTCTGTCCTTGCCTCTCTCACTTGCTGACTGCTGCTGCCACCAATAAGACCAGTGTACAAAGGGTGAGTGCTCATAGCCCTTGGAGGGCACAAAATATTTTCTCTCAACCCTTTTCCTGTGGGGGTCAGAGAGGCTGGAGTTTGCCATGGGACCTTTGTGTTCTCCTGAATAGTCTTAATTGGAGAAGAAACATCCTGGTTGGGCCTGCCAGAGCTAAAATGTCCAAATGTCCACCATCAGGTCCAACACCTCGGAGACCTCCTCTTGCAGTACCAGACGCTTACCATGACTGGCTGGGCCACGGGGGCCGTCATGACTATTAAGTCCTGCTTGGCCTCAAAGATATCTGGGAGCATTCCCCATGGAGGAGCTTAGTGCTGGATCCTGCCTGCTGGTTGTGGACAAAGGGCTCCTGCATGAGGACCTCTTTGAATCACAAGTTGTGCTCCTGCTTCATTCTGGGGTAGAACCTCTTGCAGACTTTGCACTGGTCTGCTTGGGACAAGAGTCGTGGGGTTGCCCATTGGCATTGGCATGTGGCAGGTTCCACAAGGTTTAAATTCTTAGGATTGAAGCATACCCCGAACTCCAAGGGGGAACAGGAAAGTTGGGGTGGGGGAGACCCCCGTCCTATACAACTAAACTAACAACTTTAAAACACTATTGAAACTATTATACACAATCAGCTAACAGAATTCAGGGAACACCTGCAACAGTAAGCAACTGGAGTTCCAATGACTGTCACTGGCAATAAGAAAGAACCGAGGAGATGCCGGACTGGAAGGGTCCTATATTTGTCATCATGGAGGCACCACTTCGGTGAGGGCTGCAGCCGACCAGACAGATGCTACTAGGGGGAAATACTTTCCGACAATTACCTCACTGGAATCGACATGAGCAAGCACTGGGAGAAGAAGCAATGTTGATAAATGCAAGATAATGCACATTGCAAAACTTAATCCCAACTATACATACAAAATGAAAGGGTCTAAATTAGCTGTTACTATTCAAATAAAGAGATCTTGGAGTCCTTATGGAGAATTCCCTGAAAACATCTGTTCAGCATGCAGTGGCAGTCAAAAAAGTGAAGATAATGTTGGGAATCATTAGGAAAGGGATGGATAGGTAAGACGACAGAAAATATCACTCAGACCAAAGGTCCAGTTAGCTCCATATCCTGTCTACCAACAGTGGTCCAGAGGGAATGAACAGAACAGGTAATAGTCAAATAATCCATCCCGGCACTCATTCCCATCTTCTGGCAAACAGAGGTGAAGGACACCATCCCTGCTCATCCTGGCTAATAGCTACTGATGGACCTGTTTTCAATGAATTTATCTAACTCTTTTCTGACCCCTGGTATTATCTTGGACTTCATAACATCTTCTAGCAAGGAGTTCCACAGGTTGACTGTGTGTTGTGTGAAGAAATACTTTTTTGTTTGTTTTAAATTTGCTGCCTATTAATTTCACTTGGTGACCCCTAGTTCTTGTGTTATGAGCAGATTGCTGGGGAGGAAAATCAGCACGTAAATCTTGGCTTCTTAGTTTTCAGATCGGCCACAGCGAAAACCAGTATGTAGCCTACCCAAATCTGTAACTACTAATGATGTACAATTTTCACAATGTAAAAAACCCTAAACCAAAATGTTTCAGTAGCACTTGTGCCAAAAATGGAATCTGGGTCCCAAGTCCAGAGAGACTGGTAGTTTGCTCCTGGTGGTGGCTGGAAGGAGCCTGCCCTTAGAGCCTTCAAAGTGATGAGGAGAGGGGCAAGAGGAGGCACGTGCATGCCCCAGTGGGACTGCTGGCTAATGTTACTTATCGGAGCTGCAGAGGCCATCCCACCCCAGGCGTGGGAATATGCAGAGGCCAAGCGAAAGAGAACCTCCGCTTCCATTTAAAAACAGCATTTCTAGCACTCCTCATTGTGGAAATGCTTGAAAATGTGACCCACAGAGACTTCAAAGTCAGAAGGCAAAGAAAGACCCAACAAGCCCAACCGGTATCCTTTTAAAGCTAGTCTCACAATTTTTCAGGCTTGAATACGATTGTTTAATATTGTAGTGCAATATTGCTTTGAACTCCCCCCTTATTAATAAGCCAGAAGCCAGGAGCCAGGGGCTGGAATTCAGAAGAAAATTTGCAGCCACCAAAGAAGTGAGGTTCTGGAACAGCCTTTCAGTAGGAGCAAGAGGGCAAATAACCCAACTAGTTGTAAAATGGAGCTTGATAAGTTGATGACTAGGACGACAGGATACGGTTGCCTATAATAGTAGTGGGCAGGATTCAATGACTCAGGAGGTCCTTCCAGTCCCATATTTAATAGGCAGGATTTCAGCTCCCCCCCCCCCCCC